AACTGATCTTCACCAGTGTGGGGTGTGTGTGTGTGTGTGTGTGTAGTGCATTCTGATCTGACCTGTATTGGCCATAAGGAGCAACTTGCTGTCAGTGAGCAATCTACTGTCCAGACAGCTTCTGCTTTTTAAAAATGCTTTCTGCTTATTTTTATGAGAAATGCAGGTCTTATCTGCTCTGGAAGAGGCTATGGGATACGGGAACTTGTGATTATGATACTAGGTACCAAGGAAGGGAAATCTGAATGAGAGGGAAGAGAGTTTAAAAGAATTCAAATTTCAACATTCAAAAATTTCACCCATGTGAAAGAAAAGCTATCTAGGAACCAACAGATTCCCCCCATCACTGCAATAAGACTACCTCAGACTTAGGAATTTATGCTCACGTGACCCCTAAAGAGGGAAGAATTATCCCCGTTTTACAGTTGGGAAACTGACTTGTCCAAGGTCAGAGTCTGTCAAAGCTTGTAATCAAACCAGGCCTCCAGAGTTCCCAAGTCAGCATCTTAACCTCAGGACTATATTTGTCCCATTTTGTTAGAGGTTCAGGCTTCCCTACCCCTTCTCTCACCCCCAGTGTCTTTCAGCAAAACCAGTGAAGTCCAAAGTTGATATTTAAGGTACCAAAACAAGCAGGAAAACTCCCCAGCCTTTGGCTGCCTTTATACAACACAAAAATGAGATGGAATAAAACCCAATTGTCTTTCCTTTCCAGGTCACCATTTAAAGATCTCACTACACTTTTACGTTGGAAGTTAAAGTATTTGCATGGATTTGAAACTGTATGTTGGCAGGTACAGTAGTAGAATTTTATGGTGAACATTCAGTGTTTATTCTACTGTAAAATCTCTTGTAATCAGTCACACTAGACCATTATTTTCTATGGGGTTTGAATGTTTTTGAATGTGTAAGGATACTGTTTCTGGCTGAAATTAAGAGCAGTGTTACTAAAATTCCCCTAACAGGTGTGTTCAATGTAGTATTAAGTATTAGAACGCACTGCCAGATTAAGCACTGCACGCCAGTGTTTATCTCTGTTTCTGCCATATGATACTAACTTTGTCCTCTTTGTTCATGGGCAGTGACATCTAAGCAGTGAACACACCCTATTAGCAATGCATAATAAATAATTGCAGGAGGCAACCTGCCCTATGACTTGTCCACCAGATTTAACAGCACTGGTAGCAGGTTGGTTACAGGATGGCTGGCTCATGATCTCAAACAGAATTCTCCATGATGGCAGGACACTGCTTGTCTCTTTTCCAGTGGTTCTCAACTTGCAACCCAATCAGCACACTCGTGGCCCATGTGACATCCTGAGGGGCCATACAGGTAGTGCATATATATATTGGGTGGATGCAGCCCACAGTGGTAAATAGGTTGGAACCACTGATCTAATCTAACCCATTCACTGTCTCCCTGACTGCAGGTTAGTCTGCTGGAGACAGTACAATGCATTAAGACCCAATTTCCGACATGGATTTAAAAACCATTGACTTAAGGTAACACTCAACTATTGTGGCTCTCCTTAGGCTGGACAGTACATGTGGAAAAGTTTCCCCCTTTTCTGTAGATTCAAGTCCCCTGGGCTTTGAGTGTATGGCCACGAAGCCTGCTCTATGAGCTTGAATTTTTCCAAGAGTTGCTTAGTGTGTAGTCACAGAAGTATTACCAGGTGTGCTACCTCAACCCCTTTGATTAGCTAAAAACAATAGTTCAAGTGTACAGAATTCTCCCTGCTGCCTTATCAGCATTGAGCACCACAGTTTGGGAACATCACTGGGAGCCTGGCTGAGTTAAAGCACATTCTGCACTTGACATTCAAGCAACCCCAGGAGAAGGGTTTTGCAGCAGAGATTTTTGGTGCCCAGGGCTCTATTTCCTCTTCCAGTAAGAGGGGGAGTGGTAGAATTGTCACCAGGAGGGGGCTGATGGGGAAAGAGTCCCACTCTCTTCCTTGATCCATGTAAAAAGATAAATGAAGTGTGAAAGGTAGATCAAGCACTTCTAGAGTAAGGTGACATTTTGTAAATGTGACAAACATACCACTCCAGGATAAGGCCATGAGCATATGTTTCAAAGAGGTTTTAGATGGATAAGTATCTATAGAGAGCTAAGGCTTATGGTTTAGAAGAGAAACCCAGCCTTTCCTTGTGGGGAGGTTCTCTTCTACCTTCCTCAAAGAGCTGTTACTGGCCCCTGTATTTGACTAGATGGATTTATGCAATTAAATTCCACTCAAAGGAATTAATTGCCTTTCAGAAAACAATCCTGTCATTGCTCTGTCCTGGAGTTCATAAGTGACTCTCTTATATCACTTTCTAAAGCTAGTATTTCAAGGTAGCTGAGTTGTAGGTCTGCAGCAGGTCCAAGATCTCTTGCTGCACCTCAAGAGAGAAAGGACATTTAAAATAAGGCACACAAGCTCTTTAGGATGGAGTTTGTTTACACCATGAATACATCCTATTCCACCCCAAACTTTAGGGCAACTAGTGTAATGGGCCTAGGTTTCAGAGTGGTAGCTGTGTTAGTCTGTATCACCAAAAAGAATGAGGAGTCCTTGCATCTCATGAAGTGGGTTTTAACCCCCAAAAGCTTATCCCAAAATAAATTTTAGTCTAAGGTGCCACAAGTACTTTCTGTATTGGTCAGATCACCCTTGTGGGTAAGGTAGCAATTTCTTTGCTACTGCAACTAAGCAGACACCTTCTCTCTCCCCCTCCCTGAGAGACTTGAGTCCTGAATTGCCATCTTAATAGGAAAAGACTCAACTACTGTTTTGGAGGAGTTGTTTCTATTATCCTTTTACACAAGGTGGCTATTAAATACCCCCACCACCCCTTCTTTAGGCTGGAACCTGCTTCTATAGACCACATAATGCACATCTCTACTAGGGCTGTCACACACTTTAAAAAAAGTGTGATTAAATGGTATTCTCTTAGTGCAATTAAATACAATTTTTGGATGTTTTCTACATTTTCAGATATTGTATTCTGTGTTGTAATTGAAGTCAGTGTCCAGTGCTCACTGAGTTAATTACAAATATTTGCACTGTGAAAAACAAGAAATTTATGAAAGTTAAACTTTTTGTACATAATTCTCAGTTTGTAACTGCATTCAAAAATAAAAATGTAAAACTATAGAACCTTCAGTCCACTCAGTCCTACTTTGTCAGCTAATCACTCAGACAAAACAAGCTTGGTTACAATCTGCAGGAGATGCTGCTGCCCACATCTTGTTTACAATGTCATCTGAAAGTGAGAACAGGTGTTTGTATGGCCCTGTTGTAGCCAGTGTTGCACTGAAGATTCATATCCCTTCAAACTTCAACCACCATTCCCGAAGACGTGTCCATGCTGATAGTGATCCAGAGCAGACAGATGCATGTTTGTTATGAGTCAGATGCCACCAGCAGAAGGTTGACTCTTTTTTGGTGGTTTGGGTTCTGTAGTTTCTGCATTGGAGTGTTCTTTTAAGACATCTGAAAAGATGTTCCACACCTTGTCCCTTGCAGATTTTGGATGGCACTTCAGATTCCTGAACCTTGGGTCAAGTGCTGTATCTATCCTTAGAAATCTCACATTGGTACCTCTTACTTTCACAGCAGATTTGACAAAATGTGTTTTAGAACAAAACATGGGCTGGGTCATTATCCAAGAGTGCTATAACATGAAATGTGACAATGTGGGTAAAACAGAACAGGAGACCTACAATTCTCCCCCCCAGGTGTTAAAGCATTAAATTTGTGACTTTTTTAAAAGCATATCCTCTGGAATGGTGGCCAAAGCAACAGATGTTTAGCATATCTGGCATGTAAATACCTTGCAAGGCTGGCTACAAAAGTGTCATGCAAACACCTGTTCTCACTTTCAGGTGACAAATAATCAGTTAACAGTATCTCCTGTAAATGTAAACAAAAAGCTGTTTGTCTTAGCAGTTGGCTGAACAAGGAGGACGACTGGACTTACAGGCTCAGGTTTTACAGTGTGTGCAGTTATGCAACAAAAAATCTAAATTGCAGTCTCCTTCATGTGAAAGTACTACAGTATTTTGTATGAGGTGAATTGAAAAAGTTCATTTACAGTGCAAATTTGTAATAATCACTACATTTGAAAATGTAAAGAATTTGAGTTATTGATCATAATGCAAATTAACTGCAATTAACAAATTCAAGTGTGAGAGTGAAGAGTGGATTAACAGCCCTAGTCTCTACACTGCAATTAAAGACCCACAGCTGACCTTTGCCAGGTGACTTGGACTTTGGTTAAGGGACTGTTGAATTGCACTGTAGCTGTTCAAGCTTAGCTAGAACTGGTGATCTAGGAGCCTGAGGTAGAGGAGGGTCTCAGATCTCAGGCTGCAGCCAGAGCCTGAACATCTACACCACAACTGAACAGCCCCTTAGCCTAAGTCCAAGTCACCTGGCACAGGTGGTCAAATGTGGTATTTTAATAGCAGGGCTGATGGAGCTAGATGAAAATGGGCAAGTTCAATGTGTTGTCCATTAAACAATACTTAATTGTCCAGTGCTTTGGGTTTGCTCTGCTTCTACTAGTTCAGAGTCTGCTATAGGGCCCCATGAGTTTGGGCTAGTCATTGTCCACTGCTTGCTTTTAGGCTTCCCCCTCCCTAGAGCAGGGATTAGTTCTGCAGGAGGCACTGGTCCTTGCAGTTAAGTTCTAAAACCTGACAGTTTAAGGGACTCAGTTTCTCTACCTGAGCCAATCTTGGCAGAATGCCAGCACTATAGCCAAACAGGATGAGTAGTACAGGTGGTGTTCCTATAGGGGTTAAGTCACCTCACTTCTCAGATTTTGAGAACTTGCTCTGTACGTCTGTTCTACATCATTTACTATCCTATGAACCAAGATACTCACTCAACTTCCCCTTCACCACTAGTGTGCTGGTCCAAGATAGTTGAAACACACAAGCTTCATTTAGTGACATTTACCTAAAATGTAACTTAAATAGCATTTCAGTAACTTGCCACAAAAGACAAATGAAGTTTTCAGATGTTTATTAAGCATTCATTAACAAAGTTCAGACATTTCACACGTGTCCCATAAAGAACATAGTTACAGAAGACCAGTCAGTGGTAATAGTGCATAGCACTTGTATCAGATTACAAACTTATGTACAGATGTGGCATCTTCATTGATAATTCCAATTGCTTATACAAAAATTGACAAGTGCTTTAAATTCCTTCCCTAGCCCCCTCTACTAGCCATCTTATGGATAAGAGATTTAACACAATAACAAACCCGGATGTAGCTCAAGGGATGGCAAAGTTATGTTTGATATATAAACTCAGAATAGCCATTTAATCCTTGTTTGCTGAAGTATTACTCAGCCTTTTGAGATGCCTTACAGTAATTTATTCATATACACATTCCTCTGCCTGACATCCACTCCAGGCACTTGACAAAAAGGTCATGAACTAGAGACATCAGTAAAAGTAAAGTTTGAAAGTAGCTAGAATGATTGCACTTTTGTTCAATCCTTCAGTCTCATACATGGTTCATACAGTGGTGTTCATGATCAGTTAAATACAAGTTTCTACAAAAAAAAAAAAAAAAAAGAAAGACCTTTAAAACATTTAAGCTCCCTGAAACTTAGTTGGAGTTAGGCCTTCATACAATGATAAATTTCTGTAGGACTACTGTATCATAACTGGCTAACAGGAGGGGGTAATCAGTTATCTTCTCTACTCTATGCCTGGAGGAATAAACTGATGCCTGTTCTGCTCAGGGGCACCTTGCCAGATGTGAACAGGTTCTGCAGCAGTTTATTATAAACATCCATGAATTCAGTAACATTTGCTTGCTGCTGTAGAGGGGCCTACAGTGCAAGACAGCTTGAAGTTCTGGAAGTGCAGCACACCGTGTAGATACCTAATTCCCTCCACACTCGCACACCCTCCCCCCCCCCAGAAGTTGAACCTCCCCCCTAATAAATTAACCCTGTTGCCAGAAGAGGCAATACCAGTTGCTGGAGCATTTCCTAGTTTTCTAATACATGCATTAATTTCTCTTTTCAAGAGACAATTAACCTTTAAAACAGTTCAGTCCATTACTGTCCTAAAAGTGTACTTGCAAGAAGTCATTAAGACTTTTTCTCAACCCCCCCAGTGTACTATGCCATAAAAACCTAGAAGTTCAAGACACATTCTATGATTGTAGGACAACTGAGGAACAAGTCCTAAGGGACAGGATTTTGAGAGCTCTATCGGACTCCCTTTGCTGGAATGCTTCTTGCAACACATGCAGAGTATAGTTTCAACAAGTTTATGGCTTTGTGAGATCCCAACCAAAAAAGTCTAAGAGCCAGTATTACACAAACAATGAACCAAGTAAACCTGTATTTTGTATGCATACTGTATAGAAATCCTTTATATGCTCTGTGTATAACTTACTTACAAATGTCATTGCTATTAAAAAAAGTACCCCAGCCCTCAAGTGCAACACTACAAAGAAAGCAAGGTTCCTGCTTGTGTTTTACATTCATTTTCAGACAAAACACACTTTGGTTGAAAAATAAGTTACAGCATGGTTTTTACAATACAACAACAAGTGCCATGGTACTATTTAAATAATTTTAACTATAACTTTTGCTGAGATTCTATTTGCCCATATACAATGCACAACTGATTTTGAGATGACCATGGACATTAGAAAAAGTCCATCCAAAGAGAAACGAGAATGTTAGTGCAGCAGCACCAATAACTAGAGTCAGGAATGTATACAAATATTCAGTGATTGCAGGGCTACAACATTAAACCTGGTTTATTTCAGAGACCCATTTATTCCTTCATTTGGGAGTTGAAGCAGTGAACAGCACGCACACTTACACAGCAGAGGAAGAGAACTGGATGTTGAGACCTGCAGTGTTCCAAGGTTACTTTGAGAGAGGATTTGCTGATGTGGTTTCCCCATCAGTGTAGAAGTGGTCTATTTGGTCTTTATACATTTTTGCTACAACAGGCCTCTTCAGTTTCATCGTTGGACCTGCAAGAAGAGGGTAGTAGTAGTATTTTAAACTGTTATTTATCCTACTAACCAGGCCAATTCCAAAGTTTACTCTCTCGAAGCAAGGCTGCCTGCTGAGTCTAGAGGAAGGCACAAAGGGCAGTTGGGCATCCAACTTGGAAAGTCTCCCTTAGTTACTATGGTCTCTCATCTTGGAAGGAGGCAATCGCTTGACATCAACTTCATATGCAGGGTGGAAGGCACAAGAAAACTGCTGCCTGGGGCAGTCTGTACAGGTGGAAGGAAGCAGCAAGGCTGCCAGCCTCGGAGCTAGGGAGAGAAAGTGTAAGCCCTGGCATCCCACACCATCTGTGCTGTCCAGGGGCTGAAGTGACCTGAAATGCCTTGTCTTGGGCTCCAGCCTACCAGCCACCACAGTCATTTGTCAGGACAAGAATTGAAGAATCCTTGGTGAGAGGGCACCACAAAGGGGAGGTGCATGACAGCTTGAGGCAGCTTACTGCAATCCTCAAGGAAAGAGTTGAGGCTCTGGCACATTCATTAAGAGAAGAGGGTTACAATAGTCCCTCATTATTGAGATTAACCAGGTCTCCCTCACATGGTGCAATTAAGCAGCCATGCAAATGGGCACCTGCTTGTGCCCCTCAGTAGTCTACCCTTTTGGACCTAATTATTTCTGGACCTGCTCCTACTTAACTCCAACAAGTGCAAATTATTTCCATGCCTTGGGGGAAGGCAGGAGAGGGGAGGAAGAGATGTTCACTTCGAAGCTTGGACATTAGTATCCAAATCTTTGATTTGGTTCAACTGCTGCAGATGTAGCAACTTGTTGCTACAACAGGATGCAGGTGGTTACCAGCGAGGCTTGCTTGAGTTGGAATGAAACATTCAATCCATCCCATGCTCCAAGACTAAAGTCACATCCCGTTCCACCCACAAGACAGACAGCATCTCCTCCCCTCACTCCGGTCAACCAGAAACCTCTGGTTACCACATCAGACTTGCAGAGTGCCAAAAGTGGCTACTGTCCAACCTACCCAGCTTATCGGCTCCTGCAGTTCACTTGCTTGAGTATCTAGCACCGTGGAGCACACACTGTACACTCAGAGCAGTTTAAGACCACCTGTAGTCTAACACATCACACAGGACGTTAGGGAAATGAGGAGAAGACGTGCCACCACCTAATTTGAAATCAGGAGTCCTGCATTTGTTTCAATATGCAGTAGCCCAGGTCACTTACCTAGCTCTCCACCAGCGACTGAGAAGTCCTTTTCTAGAAGGACCCACTTCTGGACTTTCTGTGCATTTGAGATTGCTCTCTCATTGACTAATGCAATTCCCTTCTGGATAGCAGCATCAACAGCTTTGTCTTTGCCACCTACAACGTCTGAGACTTTTGTAGCTTTGCTGCCTAATCTGAGACAGTATGCTATGGCTTCTGGAGTAAGGTCATCCTGTGGTTCCCCTGTTTCTTCATTTACATTGCACTGTAAGAGGAAGGACAGAACAACATTACTTCACTGGTTCAACAGTTAATATATTAACTACACCGTAGAAAAGAGTAAGTTCTTTTCTACAGTATCATTGTTATTTAACCCAGCAAAGTTATTACCTTGGCTGATCCTAAGCAGACAGCCAGAATCACATCACCTTGGTGCAATAGTTTACCAATTCACTGAAGCCTGGTAGTTGAAGGAGATTATGTTCATGTTAAACCCCTCAGATCTCAGCACGCTGAGAAAAAAGTTTGTTCAGCACTTGGGCTGCTCTAGAAGTAGGTAGAGAATTTCCAGGACTATTTTGTTATAGCTATAGTTGTGGTTAGTGCTTCCCTCCCTCCCCCCCAATTAATTATTGGGGGCATTTCTAGAGTTAGAGAAAGAAACGCATTGAATCTGGGAGAGGTAAGCAGCACTGAAGTACTGACAGACAATGGAGCACAAGCTTCCTATACTGATTTGTCAAGGTCTCTTAACAGCTCTGCACCCAACAGCTCTTATTATGGAGAGTGGTAACTGGCCTCCAGAAATCTAGAGCTCCATCTTCCTTGGCAAAAACAGGTATTTTGCAGGTTGTTGAGCTTGTCATTACCAACCTGGGAAACTTTTAAAGCAAATCAGATTTAAACAAAGAAGCTACAGCTTGTTACTGGTATGGTGGGAGAGGTTTGGGAGGAAATAGAAGTGAGAACCACATTTTTCCTCTTGCTTCTTACTGCTTCCATGTCCTCAACTTCAACTCCCTTCTATTTTGCTGAATATGTATATTCAGAGGGAGGAATTGCACCGCTTCATAACCAAACGATAGCCATAGAATCTAAACATGAAGTCAAGAGTTGCTCCCATGTACTTCTTTATAGTCAGGTCCTTGTAATTTAAGGTTACAGCAGGACATGCGGTTTGGTGTTGCTTAGATTCGGTAGAAGATTAGGTTTGCTTATTTGCAGGTATTGGATACAAATTTCAAATCTTTCATTTGACCATGACAAGCCCTCTTAACTCTTCTACTTCCAGAATACAGCCATTCTGGCTAAGGTGATAGCTCATCTTATTTTCTGGCTACATATCAGGAGATAATGGAAAGAACCATACCTTCAGAGTTAGAAGCATAGCAAGGAATTTTGCTTTGTCTCCAACTAACATAGCATTACTAATTATAGGAACAGCCTCCTTTACAGCATCTTCAATTGGAACGGGAGGGATATTCTCCCCTCCAGCAGTAATGATGAGCTCTAGAAGACAGTTAGGCATAACTATGAAAATGTGATCGTTCACTGCAGTTCCAGTTGTGCTTTTTGTGATGTGTAGGTTTCAGAGAAATTGATGGGCAAAGATTACAGCACCTGCACACGTTAGCCAATTTCTGTCTTGTAGCCACAAATGATATAAATGTGTCCCTAAAAGTCAATTTAATAAAGACATACATGGTTTACTGTGCTAGTAAAATATACACGTGAATAACTGCTGTAGAGGGGAGTTTTTCCCCATGCACTGGAGAACCTAGGACTCTGCAGAATTTAGGTACAGTTTATGACTTAGTACATGGGGCCTTGAATATCAAGTTAGTTCTATGAACCTTTTAACAGCTTAGTACTGCAAGATTCCCTGGGACAACAGTCATCCTGACTTGGGAAGATTCTCCCCATCCTAGTTGGATCTGCACATTAGGAAAGCCCGGAGAGGAACCAGCACCCCCCTCCCCCCCAAGAGCAAAGAGACTAGCTGTTCCTTTGCATGCAAAGAACAAAAAGGTCTTCAGCCCCATCCACCATTAATTGTTCTCTTCCCCATCCCCTCCCTTGGCCTGATTTGTGCTCAGGACCTGAGCAGAATCCACCATCTGAGATTATGGAGTTTGGGCTCTTGCTGTAGGGGTCATTTGGAGCCATGAAGCTGTTGGTATCTGACTGTTCACCACCCTTTCCCTTGAATAAAGGGTCTTGGGCCATACTTCTACACCCCAGGGAGGGAGGGACGCTATTTAACCCAGTCCTTACCAGAACTCTAGTGCTGGTAGCCAGGCATCAGCACTGGAGGGGGACCCAGAGGCAGATTCTTCCCTGTCTATGCCAATGCAGAAGGGTGCCTATTCAGTACCCAAGAGACTCAAGACCATCCATGCGTATTTGGATAGGGGTAGATAGCTCCAGGGCACTTCAGACTGATGCTGAGAGACATGAGGGGGACATTTCTACAGTGGCTCAGAACTAGGCAGTTTCAGACCCTTTGGGAAAAGGGCAGAGGGCCTACAGGGGACACGGCTAGTTCTTCCCTGACAGTAGCATGTAGGGGTACAGATAGCACATGCCCAGCTAGTATGGGTATAAATAGCTGTATGGAGGAGGCAAAAAGTTTAGATGGGGGAGTACGTACACACCCAAACCCTAGGAGAGAGACCCTATATGGCCAACCAGTGCCTTCCACATCTACACTATTTTTAGCATTATAAATGTTCTGCTGCCAGAGAGTTTCCCTCCCACCCCCCATGAGGAAAATGCTAATCCTTTACCCCACTGCCTCCCGACTGACCCAAGTATGCTTGTGCTACTGAGAGCACAAAGGTGGAAGGATCAACTATTTCTCTCTGAAGAGGACACACTAGATAAATAGATCACTGATCTGCTTTTGTATCTGTCCTATAGTAACCTGATTTAAGTAGGTGTCCTTTATAGCAAGGAGTTGTATATACAGGCCACTCCCAAGAACTGCTTCACTGGATATAAAATTTTATATCCAAATAGCTGGCTCATCTGACGGTGAAGGCGGATGATGCGGTAAGAGCTAATGCTACCATAGCCTGTTGAAATTAGAAAAGTGACTTTGCCAAGCTAGATTCCCTCAAGTCAGACTATAGCTAGCAAGAGTCAGCTTTAGACAACTATCATGTTGCAGAGCAGGCCACTGGCTCTTTAACCCCCACCCTTTGAAGTCTTGACTTCTGCAATGTGGTCTCTAGTTTTGCAGCATTTTTACACCACATTTAGAATACTCTACTACTGTTAGCAGATCACCTAGATGCCATGCTAGGTCATAAGTACCTCAGGAGGAGTTATGCCACTTCGTAGATACCAAGCCATGATAGAGGCCTGCTTAGCTTGCAAGATTTAAAAGTTCATAGCACAGGATGAGGTATTACCTTTAATTCTTCCAGTGATGTAAAGGAACCCATTTCTGTCATGCTTGCCAAGATCACCTGAATGTAGCCAGCCTTCTTCATGAATTGCCTCTTTGGTTTTATCTTCCATGTTCAAATAGCCCATAAAGATGTGTCTTCCTGAGAAACAGATCTCTCCACTGCCATCACTGTCTGGCTTGTAAATCATTGTCCGGCAGCCTGCAATCTCTTTTCCGCAGCTAAAAGAGGGACATATTCTCCTTAAGATTCAGTATGCTAAAAAGCTATGAATTGTTAGATTCCTATCAGTACCATTTTTAAATTTAAGCATTTGCACAAAGTCATGAGACATTCTGGTTGTGGTATCATGTCTCTTTCAGCAAGGAATTCATTTGTTTATAAGCTGCCTGTCAGTGTAGTGTAACAAGACCTAAAAACGGATCTGATATTAACCAGAGAGATTAGTACCTACTAGACTATGGGTGGCCAAACTTTCGACACTACGAGCCGCATACAATAATCTTCAGAAGTTCGAGAGCTGGGTGCATCTGCCAGGGCTTGGGGCTTCACCCCCATGGGAGGTGCCTGCCAGAGTTCAAGGCTTCAGCAAGTTTGGCCACCCCCGTACTAGACATTTAGGCCAGGTTTTTTACACTAGGAAATTAAGTCACTATGACTATGTTGCTCAGGAATATGAAAAAAAATCCAGATCTCCTGAGCGACTCAGTTAAACAGACCAAGCCCCCAGTGTAGACAGCACTAGGTTGACAGGAGAATTCTCCCATTGACCTAGCTACCGCCTCTCAGGGAGGTGGACTACTACACTGATGGAAGAAGCCCTCCTATTGGCACAGCTAGCCTCTTCACTGAAGTGCCACTGCAGCGTTTTAAGCGTAGATCTGCCTTTGGTGTTTTCGAAATACTCTTCTAGAATCCCTGAGGTTTAGAAAATTTGTAATAAAATAGCTTAATTGAATTCCAAACACTAAATACCCTGGCTTGTGATTTCAAAGATGGTAATATATTCACATTGATCTTCCCTAAGTTACTGGATATATTAAACTGTACCATGAAAAATGATTGTGTGCCAGAGTAGAAGTCATGAGAAACAAATGACAATTCCTCTTATTAGCAGCAAAGAGTCCCGTGGCACCTTATAGACTAACAGCCGTATAGTAGCATGAGCTTTCGTGGGTGAATACCCACTTCTTCGGATGCATGTAGTGGGAATTTCCAGGGGCAATTCCCTGGAAATTCCCACTACA